CGCCCGCCGCCCCCGCCCCCGAACCCTATCCGAATGCCCGTAGATTTTACAAGATGAAAAGGCCAGGTTTATAACGTGGGTGGTCAGATGTTTCGAACGATCTTTTCGTAGCTTCCTAGAAATCGAAGACCTCTGTTTATTATGTCTTTTCTTTTGTCCTTGAAGAGGACAGAAACGCCTTGTCCCGTTCATTGATTCCAAGTTCGGAACTATTTGAATAGCTTGTAAAGCTCGTAAAAAGATGAAAGGAGTTCTTTCTTGAAATTTTCGTCTATTGTACGGTATGATGGTATGACGAATCGAAAAAAAAGTATACGAAATTATTTTCGATAGAACTCTTAAATCGAATGAACGACTAGACAAGTTCTAATAGAGCTGTTCCACCTAATACTCTAATCGAGTTTATTCGAATTTTTCGAATAAATCATTTTTCAAAATTAATGTTATTATTCTTATTACATTTATACAATAAAGTTAACAAAGAGAAATGAATATATACAAATTTGTTGTATTAATTGAATGCATTCAACGTCGAATAAATGAAATCTATTTTTTTTTTTTTTTTTTTAATTATAATACAAATGATCAAACACTTGTACGATGTTGTCGAATCGATGATTTGTAGAAATAATCGTTGAAATATTCGTTGAAATCACTCGTGCCTTTGACGTAATAATATTAACGCATATTAATACGTCTATATACATACATACATACATACATATATATATAGATATAGGAATAGATATATGTATATAGATAGACACGAATACGGAGAGAAGACACGAATACTCGTTCCTCGTATTATATCCTTTCACAGATAGAGGAAAGGGAAGGGGCCAGGAAAGGAAAGGGGGTGGTTATGAAGGAAACAGACGAAGGAACGAAACGAAGGAACAAGCACGTTGGGTGGTCCTGCCCCGCTGTTTATGGGGCACTGCATCTGCTGGCCCCGTATAAACCTCTCTCGACAACCTGTGTGGTCCCACCTTATGTCCGACTTTACATTCGATTCACTACTTGCTAATGGTAGCTGCATTAGCATTAGACCGTGCCGGACCCACTCTCCCCCCCACCCTTTGCCGTTCTTCTTTCTCTCTCTCACTATCTCTCTTTCTTTTCCAGCTTGTATTCCACGCTTCCTGCCAAATACTATCTTCTTCCTATCTTCAGATTAGAATTTGTTCCTGTCCTCTTCTATCTAATATCACCTAACAAGCCTATCGATAACAAAATGGTAATCGATGTTAACCCTTTCGAAAGGTTAATATCAGTGCAAAACAACAATCTTAAATGTATCATTTACATGCATTATTGCAAGCTTCAACGATATAGTTTGAACTCGACAGAAGGAATCACTTCGAGTAAAGATAAATTAGATTTTTTGTTGATTAAAAATTAAATTCCGACGAAAAGGTCATTTCTTTTCGTCCGAGCGAAAAAAGGTCTACAGTGCAAAGGGTTAATATATTATAATGAAATTAATATCTACAAGGAAGTATAGGTAGAGTTTTTTTTTAATAGATCAAGCAGATTTTGGGATTCTGTTGGTTAAAATTATTTCAGACTCGTGCATATTCTGTTTAAAGGCGTAAACATTGTTTTCGACATTTTTGTTAAAACAAAAATGAGAAAAGAGGAAAATTCAAAATTGAAAAAAAGGAATCTACTATTACCGAAGATCGGTAAAATAAGAATCTACCGTAACCGACACAAACTAGTATAAATTTTTTTTTT